TATATGTGAGAAGCAGTCCAATGGAAAGATCGATGGTTTTGCATGAAGCTGTTTGGTGCTGAATGAAATGACGTCAGATCTGTTCATAATTTGAACTCCGACAAGCAAATCAGTATTTCTTATTGGCTGCAATCATAGTAACAGCTTGCTAAAAATAACAATTACAAACATTTTACCATTTCATTTTTTGCTAATATAGAAGTGCAAAACATGTTTAGAGCAGAGATGATTCATCTCAAGGGCGGCGATGTTTCTGTTGCTGGACACTGTTGAAAGAACCTTATTCAGAGACAAGGCAGCACTCACCACATGCATCCCACCCTGTTGGGTAAATACAAATTCACCATAATGTTATTATTCCCATGAGTCAGCTCTGTGTTATTTACCACAGAAACACTGAGCTCACTGTGACATCAAAAAGGTGAAAGACCTGTTTGTTGACTCTACCTGGCATGTTTGGGTGGTGACCTCCTGGATTGACACAAGGCTGACTGAATGAAGAAAAAAATGAACAAAATGAACAAAAACATTAGTAAATGAAACGTTTATTAAGGTTTTATAAATATAGGACAGTCTGGGCAGTGAGCACAACGTAATTTTACATATTTACCATGTGGAAAAACTGAGATGTGCTGTTGAAATTTCATTGCTTTGTCATATATTAAGATATTTCAGTGATCATGTGTAGCTAAATGTTTTTACACTGACACAGGGGGATTTTCACTGGTCTGTACCTCACCCTCGACATCCCTCATCTACAGCATCACACATGCAAATTTAAGACTGACAGAGTCATAAGAGAAACACCAACCCATTACAGGAGGTAACAACCAAAGGGTTTATTTAACACTGAGCAGAGTCACTACACACACTAAGACACTGAGTTGGTGGGTGTATTCCATAATGAGGCAAATGTGTGTTTATTTTCATTGTTACGTGTCAGGGATTCATATCCCGGAGCACTCGGCTTGGGTTGACGCTCTCATTTTCACAGGCACATGTGAAGCACACGGTTGGTTTTCCCTGATAGAGAAATGTCACTAAAAGACTAAAAACATCTGAGTTCCTCTCTCAGTAGCTGAATATTTGTACAGGCTCAAAGTTACCCTGTTCCCTTAAATGATCATAAGATGTAATTTATATATACATGCATGTGGAAATATGATTTACTCTCTCACCCCCGTTCTCTGCGACCTGCTGGAGCGGGGGGGCTAGGAGGAGGAGGAGTTGGCCGTCCGACTGGGGTCTGGAATGTGGGGCCTCCCTGCTGCTGCGGAGTCGGGGCGGTCTGCCTCTCCCCACCGCAGGGAAAAGGGTAACACCACCTGGGTCTGGGTGCAGTTCCCCCTCCAGGGGCAAGGGTACCTAGACCCGGTTT